CAAATGTCTTTGCCTTTTTTGTTGCAATTGATTTTTAGTTTCATGCCATTGTGATCTGAGAAGATGCTAGATATGATTTCCATCTTCTTGAATTTGTAGAGACTTAGTGTGTGTCCTAACATGTGTCCTATCTATGAAATTATCTGATGTGCACTTGAGAAGAATGTAAATTATGTAGTTTTGGTGTGTAATTCTCTGTAGATATCTATTAAATCCATTTGATCTAGCGCTTCATTTAGAGTCTGTGTTTCCTTGTTAATTTTTTGCCTAGATGATCCATCAGTGATATCAGGACAGTGTTTACTTTCCCTGCTGTGATTTTATTGCTGTTGATTTTTTTTTTGAAGTCCTCCACAAGAATTTTAATAGATGTCGATGTGTCTATATTGGGTGCATATATGTTTACACAGGTTATATCTTTTTGTTGGATAAATCCTTTCAATATTATGTAGTGGCCTTTTTTGTCTCTAGTTATGGCTTTCATTTTAAAATCTACTTTATCTGATATGAGTATTGCTACCCCAACTTGTTTTTCCTTTCCGTTTGCTTGAAATATATATTTTTTTTATCCCTTCACTTTCAACCTATGTCAGTCTTTGTTGTGAGGTGGTTCTCTTGTAAACAACTTATATGTGAGTCATGCTTTCTTATCCAATCAGTTGCTCTGTGTCCTTTTATCAGAGTATTCAAACCAATCACATTTAAGGTGATCATTGATATGTACTTATTTATTGCCATTTTTGTTTAGTGTAGTTATATTTTTCTTCCTATTTCTTCTACTTATTACAGCAGTCCTTTTAGTGTATCTTGCAGTATTGGTTTGGTGTTAATATATTCTCTGAGCCTTTTTTTTTTTTTTTGGTCTGGAAGACTCTTTATTTGGTTTTCTATTTTGAATGATAGCCTTGTTGGATAGAGTAGTCTTGGTTTCAGATACTTGTTTTTCATGATTTTGATTATTTAATGCCACTCCCTTCTGACCTGTTGTGTTTCTGTTGAGAAATCAGCTGAGAGCCTTATGCGGTTTCCTGTGTATGTAACCTTTGCTAATCTTTTGCTGCCTTTAGCTTTCTCTCTTTTTCTTTAATTTTTGGCATTTTAATTACTATGTGTATTGGTGTGGTCCTGTTTGGATTCTTCTTACTTGGGCTATCTGTGCTTCTTGTGCTTGAATGCCTTCTTTCTTCACTATGTTAGAAAAATTTTCTGTCACTATTTTTTCAAATATATTTTCTAATTCTTGCCCATTTTCTTTCTCTTCAAGGACTCCTATGATGCAAATGTTATTATGTTTCCAGTTGTCCCACAGTTCTCTTAAGCTGTCTTCCTGTTTTTTAATTGTTTTTCCTCTTTGGTTTTCTGATTGTTTGATTTTTTCTACCCTGTCTTCTAATTCACTGATCCAGTCCTCAGCTTCCTCTACTCTGCTGCACAACACCACACTCCACGCCCTTTGCTGCTTGTGAGTGTACTGGGTAACAGTTGCACAGTGACCGGTCACCAATAGGCTTTGAAATAATTGACATGATTGGTCACTAAGAATGATACAAACCCATTTTCTCTAGTGATTTGTGAACAGAAGACCAAGTAGCAACCTTTGTACTTCATGTTGTTATTCACAGTTAGTATACTGTGATAACTGAAATTTGAACTATGTTGCTGAAGGAGTAGTTGTTCAGCTAAACAATGGTATCACTTGTGTTCATATCTGAACAGTACAGAACAAGGACTTCCAGTAGCTAGCTTGAATCAAAATTCAATTCAGGTTCACATATTGCTATTGGTTCATATGTGTCTCTCTTAAGTCCCTTTATAGGTGCTCCCTCCATTTTCTTTTTTTTCGATGCTATTTAGTAATTGAAGAAATTGGGTTGTTTATGCTTTGCAGGTTCCCACAGTCTGTCTGGATTTTGTATTTTCATCTCCATGTTTTTTTTTTTTCTTTTTTAATAGTTTCTGCCCTCCATATTTTCTTTTCTTTTTTTTTTATGAGTTTTTATTTATTTTTTTGATACAGATATTTTACCTTTTTACCCCATTGGCACCCCCCACCCCACCCCCCCTCCACCCTGTTCCTGGCTTAGTTGTCCATGTCCATTGGTCATGCATACATGCATATAAGTTCTGTGGTTTATCTCTTCCCACCCCCCCACCCCCCATCCCCTCTTCTGAGGGATGTCAGTCTGTGCCCTACTTCCATGTGTCTGGGTCTACTGTATTCCTCAGACTGTTATGTTCATTATATTCCGTATATAAGTGAGATCATGTGGTATTTGTCTTTTTCTGCTTGGCTTCTTTCACTTAGGATAATACTTTCCAGGTCCCTCCATGTTGTCTCAAAGGATAAGAGATCTTTCTTTCTTACCGCTGCATAGTATTCCATTGTGTATATGTACCACAGCTTTTTTATCCATTTGTCTACTGGTGGACACTTGGGCTGTTTCCAGATCTTAGATATTGTAAATAGTGCAGCTATGAACATGGGGGTACATATATTCTTCCTGATTGGTGTTTCAGGCTTCTTAGGGTATATTCCCAGCAGTGGGATCACTGGGTCAAATGGAAGTTCAATTTTTAATTTTAAAAAAAATTAAAAATTGAACTTCCATATTTTCTATTTCCTTCCTATAACCTGACAGTTAAATACAAAGACTTTCTCTAGTTGGCATCTGAGCCCTTTTATTTATTTTTCTTTATTGATTTTTAGAGAGAGAGAGGAAGGGCGAGCGAGAGAAAGATAGAAACATCATTGAGGGAGAACATCAGTTGGCTGTCTTCTGCATGCCCACCGCTAGGGTTTGGGCCCACAACTTGGGCATGTACCCTGACTGGGAATCAAACTGACAACCTCTTGGTGCCTAACCATGGAGCCACATCAGCTGGGCTTTTATGAATACTTTAAATAAATACTAAATCAGTGCAAAATTCTAAGTCAAGTCTCCCCCAAAAGGAAAATTAGCTCTGTACTCACTACTAGGGAGGGGTCTTATTCTGAGAAGCTGACCTGTCCCACAGGTTGAGCAACGAGGACTCTAGAGGGGGAGTGAGGATGAGGAGGGACAAGAGACACCAGAAATGGAGACAAGACAGGGATCTGATCAAGTCTCCTTTATTCTGGGGAGATCCACACTATATATAGGGCAAGAAGCAGAAAAACAAGAACATTTGTTGCCAAGCAATAAATTTGTGGTAACCACCCCCAAGCAACTGCAAGTAAATATCACAGATGGAACAAAAGATAAACAGAGCATGACTGGCTGAGTAAATGGTTACTTAAAGGAATTCAGAAACATTGTATGCAGAGATATCCTGCCTGGGGCAAGAGATGGCAGAGCAGATTTTAACAAAATGGATGCCATGCAAATAGTCTCCCACAAGAAGCAACAGAATGAAACAATCTCTGCTGCTGTAGGTGCCTAGAAGGTATAGCCAGGAAATACAGGAAGTGCTATCTCAGGGATTTTAAGCCCAGTCCTTGGAAAGATATTGCAAGATTCCTCCACAGAGATGTTAATCAACCTGAAAGGATTGGATTACTGGGCCCCAAGCATTATTCCTTTCCTATAAGCTTGTTGTAAGTAGATACTCATGTTCCCCTCCCCCCAACCTACTGAATTACAATCATTGGGGATTTTCCCTGACACCCAGTTTAACAAAGCTTCCAGGTGATCTTATTTAAAGAAAAGAAACCTCACTCACCTAGTCTTATCCTTTTGAGGTCAAGGTGATTGCTACAGACTGAATATTGTGTCTCCCCAAAATTTATGTATTAAAATCCTGATCCTAATGTGATGGTATTAAGAGGTGGAAACTTTGGTGATTAGCTCCCATAAATAGAATTAGTGCCCTTAAAAAAGAGATCCCAGAATTCTTTCTGACCCATTTTTGTGAGGTTGCACTTAAAAGATTGTTGTGTATAGACCAGGAATCAAGCTCTTTTCAGACACCAGATCTGCCGGCACCTTGACTTTAGCTTTCCAAGACTCCAGAAATGGGAGAAATAAATTTTTGTTGTTTAAGTCACCTAGTTGGTGGTATTTTGTTGTAGCAGCAGAACAGTGATAATCATCATCAGAGTAGTGGTTGTGAAACCTGGGTGAACATTATGAAACTCTGGCAAACTTGAGAAAACACGACACAAGGCCCCATCCCAAAACAGTTAAAGAAGAATCTTGGGAGAACAAGATTAGTTTATTGATAGCTTAAAAGGCTCCTTTGGTGATTCTACTTTGCAGCCAGCTGAGAACCATTGATCTTATAGATTGGGCTTTCCAGTGCAATAATAAAATGGAAAATTCCACTCCACCCACCACCAGTTGAACAACAGTTTCCTGTGACTGTTTACTCAGCTTATCTAGGGTGCCAGAAAACAACTGTCCAACCGCGACCCCGACTGCCACCTAGCTGCTATGAGAACCTGAGCAGCTTCCCCATTCCCATGGTCCTGAATCCTCCCCTCCCCTCCCTGAAATGCTGTATAAAACTCAGCCGCTGTTGTCACTTGGGGCTCTTGGCTTACTATCGGCCTTGAGCCCGCTCGCATGCGTAATAAAATTTCTCTTTTTGCTTCCAACCTCTGGTACTCATCAATTTCCGTGGCGTCATCGTCTTACATTTGGAGGTCCCACAGAGATCCACTCTCTCGGCGTCGGAAGAAGGAGGACGTCCACGACTGGTGAGTGAAACTGGCGGTGGCTGTCAGACAAGGACCCTTGTCCCTCCTGACTGCGACCGACAGACGTGTCAAGGGGTCGCAGGCCACGGCTCTGGGGGACGCCCCGGAGTGTTTGGACAACCAAGGACGCTTGGAAATCCCTCTGCTGTCAAGTACAGGATCTGTATCTCTGTTGCCAGTTTCAACCCGAGCTCGTAGGTCCGGACCGATAGACATATTTTTTATTTCATTTTGCCGTTCACGGCGCAGTCGGCTTTGTCTGTCAGTGTTGGTGTTTGTTCTCTGTGTGTTCTTGTTTGTCCTTCTCTATCATTTAGAAACGACTATGGGACAGAAATCATCCACTCCGCTGTCTTTGACGCTGTCACACTGGTCAGACATAACTACCCGTGCTCACAACTTATCTCTTATAGTTAAGAAACGTAAATGGCAGACTTTCTGTGAATCCGAATGGCCAGCCTTAGGTGTCGGCTGGCCCCCGGCCGGAACCTTCCACAAAGATACCATCCAAGCCGTCAAGGCAGTCGTCTTTAGTCCTGGACCTGGGGGCCATCCAGATCAACAACCTTACATGGGAAGATTTAGCTGATGACCCTCTCCCCTGGGTTAAGCCCTTCCTCCCTCCAGGCACCTCTTTCCTCCCCCTCTCCCTCTCTGCCCTTCCTGCCCCTCCTAAATCTGCCACACCTATGCTCCCACTCAAATCTCAGGAGTCGGCAGCTCCCCTTCTCCCTCTTCCCTCCTCTGTTCTTCCCGAATCCCAATCTGATCTTATTTCCTTCGACTCCGGTCTGCCGCCCCCCTACCCCAGAGATGTTCCTGCCGGTACTGCTGAAGCAGGGAGCCCTCCTCCCCCATTACAGGGTCCAGCGCATGGTACTCAAAGTCGGAGGGCCCCAACTCCCGATGACGTGGCCATTACTCTGCCCCTCCGCCCTTTCGGTCCCCCGGTCCCGGACGGGCAAGGGGGGGACATGTCGGCACTTCAATATTGGCCTTTCTCCTCCTCTGATCTCTGTAACTGGAAGAATAATAACCCACCTTTCTCTGAAGATCCCGTCAGACTTACTGATCTCCTTGAGTCCCTTATGTTTTCCCACCAGCCTACTTGGGATGACTGTCAGCAACTCCTCGGAGTCCTCTTCACTTCCGAAGAGAGGGACCGAATCCTTCTGGAACCCAGGAAATTAGTTCCTGGACCAGATGGACGTCCCACCCAGCTCCCAAACCTCATAGATGAGACCTTTCCGCTGAGACGACCCAATTGGGACCCAAATGCTCCAGAAGGTAGGCAGCGACTCATACTCTATCGCCGCCAGACTCTGATGAGAGGTCTCTGGGCGGCAGCAAGGCGCCCCACCAATTTGGCTAAGGTAAGAGAAATAATACAAGGGCCAGAGGAATCCCCATCTAGATTTCTAGAAAGACTAACGGAAGCCTACAGGAGATATACCCCTTTCGATCCTGAATCCGAGTAACAGAGAGGGGCATTAGCTATGGCTTTCATAGGACAATCAGCTACTGACATTCGTAGAAAACTTCAGAGAATGGATGGATTACAAGATATGGCCCTAAGGGATTTAGTCAGGGAAGCTGATAAGGTCTTTTACAAAAGAGAGACAGCAGAAGAGAGGGAGCAGAGACTAGAGAGGGAAAAGGAAGAATCAGGAAATAGGAGAGATAAACGAAAAAATAAGGAACTAACAAAAATTCTAGCCACCGTAGTTGAGAAACAGGATAGGAAAGAAAAGAATGGTACCTCGGGCCCACGCCAGAAGCCAAAACTAGGACCCAACCAGTGTGCCTATTGCAAAGAGGAAGGACATTGGATAAAGGATTGCCCTAAGAAAAAGAAAAAGATAGAAAAGGTTCTTGCCCTAGAAGACTAGAGACGTCGGGGTTCGGATCCCCTCCCCGAACTCAGGGTAACCTTTAATGTGGAGGGGACCCCAATTAACTTTGAAGTCGACACTGGGGCAGTTTATTCTGCCCTACAGAGCCCACTAGGCCCCCTCTCCAACAGAAAATCCTTAGTACAAGGGGCAAATGGAAGCCAACATAGATCTTGGAAAACCAAGAGAACAATGGACCTCGGGAGGGGACGGGTACAGCACTCCTTTCTGGTCATACCCGAATGTCCTGCCCCACTCCTGGGGAGAGATTTGCTTACTAAACTAGGAGCAAGCATTGACTTTAAACCTCAGGGACCAGAAATCAGGTTCAGTAATCCACTCGTCAGTCAGCCTGTTGTGACTATGCTGACCCTGTCTACAGAAGATGAATATCAGCTATATGAAACCTCCAGGCCTATACCCCGCCAACCAGGGAACAGATGGCTCCAAGACTACCCTGAGGCATGGGCAGAAACGGCTGGACCAGGCCTTGCCACACAGCAGCCTCCGATAATAGTGAGCCTGAAGCCATCTGCCACCCCTATCAGAGTCAAACAATACTACATGAGCAAAGAGGCACGGGAATGTATTAGACCCCATATCCGGAGGCTACTAAAAGAAGGGATCCTGAGGCCTTGCCAGTCAGAATGGAACACCCCCTTGCTGCCCGTTAAGAAACCAGGTACAGGGGACTACAGGCCAGTCCAGGATCTTAGGGAAATTAACAGTCGTGTAATAGATACCCATCCAACGGTTCCAAATCCCTACAACCTCCTCAGTACCCTCAGTCCAGACCAGAAATGGTACACTGTATTAGACTTGAAGGACACTTTCTTTTGCTTGCGTTTACATGAAGGCAGCCAACCCCTGTTTGCTTTTGAATGGACAGATCCAGAAAATGGCCTCAATGGACAACTCACCTGGGCAAGGCTACCCCAGGGCTTCAAAAACTCTCCTACCATTTTTGACGAAGCCCTGCATCAGGACCTGAGTGAGTTCCGGATCTCCACCCCAGAGGTAACCCTATTACAATATGTAAATGACCTATTGCTGGCAGCCGCGACCTCAGAACAATGTGAACGAGGCACTGAGAAATTACTCGCTACGCTAGCCAAACAGGGATACCGGGCATCTGCTAAGAAAGCCCAGGTCTGTCGGTCTGAAGTCACCTTCCTGGGGTACTCTCTCCAAGACGGTAAGAGATGGCTGACTGAGGCTAGAAAGAGGACTGTGACCCAAGTCCCACCCCCGGAGGACAGAAAAGGGCTTAGGGAATTCCTAGGAACAGCAGGGTTCTGCAGGCTATGGATACCGGATTTGCTGCCTTAGCCGCTCTCTTGTATCCCCTACTGAAGGAGGGGACCGAATTCACATGGGGGAAAGAACAACAGGAGACATTCGATCAGATTAAGAGGGCATTGCTATCGGCCCTGGCCCTAGAACTCCCTAACATAGAGAAACCATTCACGCTCTATGTAGATGAAAAGGGAGGAATAGCTAAAGGGGTACTAACACAGCCCCTAGGGCCCTGGAAGCAACCGGTAGCCTACCTCTCTAAGAGGCTAGATGTCGTTGCTAAGGGCTGGCCAGGATGTCTGCGAGCAATCGCGGCCGTAGCCCTCCTGGTCAAAGATGCTGATAAACTAACTCTAGGTCAAAAGCTGACCATCACTGCACCCCATGCTCTAGAGAGCATCATCAGGCAGCCACCAGATCGCTGGCTCACGAATGCTCGAATCACTCACTACCAGAGCCTCCTACTAGATAAGGACCGAATCACCTTCGGTACCCCAGCTGTTTTAAACCCAGCCACCCTGCTACCCGGGGAAAATGAAGAGACTGTTTATCACCAATGTAGGGACATCCTCGCCGAGGAGACTGGGATCCAAAAGGATCTGCGGGACATACCGTTACCGCACTCCGATCTGATCTGGTACACTGATGGGAGCAGTTTCCTCTTAGATGGGGAACGAAGGGCTGGAGCTGCAGTAGTAGACAAAGAAAAAGTAATCTGGTCAGGAAGACTGGCCTCAGGGACTTCGGCCCAGAAAGCAGAATTAATAGCCCTAACGAAGGCCTTAGAATTAGCAGAAGGTAAGCGAGCTACCGTTTACACGGATAGTAGATATGCATTCGCTACCGCACACATACACAGAGTGATTTACCAAGAAAGAGGGCTCCTCACATCAGCCGGTAAAGACATAAAACATAAACCAGAAATACTGGCCCTCTTAGAGGCTGTCATGCTCCCACACGAGCTGGCCATCGTCCATTGCCCTGGACATTAGAAGGGACAGGACCCTGTAGCGGAAGGGAACAGGAGGGCAGATGAAGAGGCACGAGCAGCAGCCCTGCGGACGGCCGTCAACATCCTGACAACGGGGGAAACACAATCCCCCACCCTGGCCAGACTAAAAGAGCCTGAGGATCCACGGACCTTCCTCCAGACTGCCCATCGCCTTACCCACCTTGGGATTAATAAGCTGGTACAGCTGTTACAGGACAACGACACCTTAACGAGCTCAGAAAGAGAAAGATAGCCGAAGAGGTATTCAAGGCCTGCAAGGCCTGCCAAATGGTAAACGCCCACCCAACCAAGAAAATAGAAGGAATCAGGCCAGGTCAGTACTGGGAGATAGACTTCACCGAAATAAGACCCACTAAATATGGACTAAGATATCTCTTAGTTTTTATAGACACCTTTTCTGGATGGATAGAAGCTTTCCCTACCAAGCATGAGACTGCAGCAATAGTCATCAAGAAGATAATAGAAGAAATCTTCCCCCGATTTGGCCTCCCTAAGGTAATAGGGTCTGATAATGGACCGGCGTTTGTGGCCCAGGGAAGTCAGGGGATAGCCAAGATACTGGGGATAAAATGGAAATTACACTGTGCATACCGACCCCAGAGCTCAGGGCAAGTAGAAAGGATGAATAGAACAATCAAAGAGACCTTAACTAAATTAGTAATGGAGACTGGCCATAGAGATTGGGTAATGCTCCTACCATATGCCCTCTTTCGGGCTCGTAACTCCCCCTCTGCAAAAAACAACTTGACCCCCTTTGAAATACTGTTTGGAACTCCTCCGCCCATTCGTGACTTGTACCCCTCTGACATAAATGTTCCGAATACCCCCTTATCTATTAGATTGCAGGCCCTGGCCAGAGTACAGCACTGCCTATGGAAGCAGCTATCTGACCTTTACCAACCGGAGGGAGACGGGACCCCACATCATTACCAGCCAGGGGATTTCGTATACATCCGGAGGCACCAACACCGGACCCTCGAACTTCGCTGGAAGGGGCCCTACCAGATCCTCCTTACTACACCCAGGGCAGTAAAGGTTGATGGCATCACTGCTTGGATTCATGCCTCTCACCTTAAGCCTGCTCCTCCTCCTGATGACCAATAGACCCTGGAAAAAACAGGCAACCCCCTCAAACTGCGTGTACGCCGCCGCAGTGCCCAGCCCTCACCAGCCGACTCTACAAACCTGGCAGGTGATATCGGGGACTAGCGATGTTATATGGGAAGCATCCACTACTAATTACCCCCCTTGGACCTGGTGGCCACCCCTCTACCCAGACCTTTGTCAGCTTGCGGCAGGCAGGGAAGATTGGGATATCCCGACTACTGACCCAACCAGCCCTAACACCTGCCAGTCCGGGGCATGTGGATGTCCAACCAGTGGGCTGGGCACTGAAAGTTACGGGTGCTCTCATCCCGAATTCCATAATATCCTACCGGGACTGACCTTTTATGTTTGTCCCCGAGATGGACGGGACCGGAACACAGCTTGGAAATGTGGGGGATTAGGAGCCTATTATTGCAAAGCCTGGAGTTGTGAGACTACTGGTACAGTTTCCTGGAAGCCCACCTCCTCTTGGGATTGGATTAAAGTCACTCGAGTTAGAACTGAGGGACTTAAAGACAACAAATGTTATGGGAGAGCCACCTCCCGGAGAGGGACTGTTTTGGGGTCCTGGACCGGAAGGGCTGGAATCTGGACTGGATCGGGACCCTGTTTAAATTTCACCTGTAACCAATTGAACATCACTTTCACTACCTAGGGGAAGAAACGGGACGAATCCTGGCTAAGAGGCAGACAATGGGGACTAAGGATGTATCTGTCAGGGAGGGACAACGGGCTGACCTTCAAAATAAGACTCCAAATAGGCAGCCCTAAGAATGGGACAACAGGACCTAACAAGGTGCTGGCCAACCAGAAGATCCCTAGGTTCAGTAGCTCTCTCCCCATAACCCCCCAGATACTCCCACAGATAACTTCAACTCTAACAACCCCTTCAGCACAACCCCTACCTCCGGATCTCTCAGATTTGGGAACCACAGGGCAGCGATTGCTAAACTTAATAGACGGAAGTTACAAGGCCCTAAATAGCTCCCACCCCAACCTTACTGACTCATGTTGGATTTGCCTCCTAGCAGAGCCACCTTATTACGAAGGAATTGCCATAAATGGGAGCTATCGCGAGTTTAGTAACCCATCCCAATGCGAATGGGACCAGAAGCATCTGCTCACCCTCCCGGAGGTAGCAGGGGAAGGGGCTTGTTTAGGGACCCCGGCTGCTGCCGATTTGAAAAGATGTCAACAAATAATCCCCATTACACCTAATAACTCCTACCTGCTACTGGAGGAAGGGACACGATGGGCATGCAGAACGGGTTTAACTCCTTGCATATCCACCCAGGCCTTTAATAACTCTCAGGACTTCTGTGTAATGGTGAGAGTCTTCCCCCGGCTAATATATCATGAAAGCAGTGACTTTGAAGAGGCAGTCGGAGGGCGGACTAGGCGAAAAAGGGAGGCTGTCACCCTTACTCTGGCGGTGCTACTAGGGGCCGGAATACTAGCGGGAGTAGGAACAGGGTCTGCTGCCCTGATTGAGGGACCTAGACAGATGGCAGCCCTTGAGTCCGCTATCACCCAGGATCTCAAGGCAATACAGCAGTCTATGGAGGCATTAGAACAATCCCTAACCTCTCTATCTGAAGTAGTTCTGCAGAATAGATGGGGTTTAGACTTATTATTTCTAAAAGAAGGGGGGCTCTGTGCCACCCTCAAAGAAGAATGTTGTTTCTACGCTGACCACACCGGAATAGTCCGGGACTCAATGAATAAACTTAAAGACAGATTAAACGCCAGAGAGAAGAAATTGCTAGAACAGCAGGGATGGTTCGAGGGATGGTACAACAAATCACCTTGGTTGACTACCCTCATCTCCACCCTGGCAGGACCTCTCATTGTCTTATTATTAATCGTAACTATTGGGCCATACATTCTAAATAGAATAACTACCTTTCTACAGGGACAGATAGGGGCAGTCAAGCTCATGATCATGAGACAACATTACGAGCAACTGGGCCAGGACACAAATCTCTAGGATTAGAGATGCCCAAAAGAAAAGGGGGGAATGCAATAATAAAATGGAAAATTCCACTCCACCCACCACCAGTTGAACAACAGTTTCCTGTGACTGTTTACTCAGCTTATCTAGGGTGCCAGAAAACAACTGTCCAACCGTGACCCCGACCGACTGCCGCCTAGCTGCTATGAGAACCTGAGCAGCTTCCCCATTACCATGGTCCTGAATCCTCCCCTCCCCTCCTGTGAGAACCTGAGCAGCTTCCCCATTCCCATGGTCCTAAATCCTCCTCTCCCCTCCCTGAAATGCTGTATAAAACTCAGCCGCTGTTGTCACTCGGGGCTCTTGGCTTACTATCGGCCTTGAGCCCGCTCACGTGCATAATAAAATTTCTCTTTTTGCTTCCAACCTCTGGTACTCATCAATTTCCGTGGCGTCATCGTCTTACACCAGGTGGCCTGAAGAGCTGTGGTGCTCAGGAAACCAGCGGAACATTGTGGAGTTGGAGGAAACCAACGATTATCAACTTAGGGCAAGAAGAGTAGAGTTGTGTCTGGCACCTGAGACTGCATTAAAGGCACTAATTTTAAAAATTGTGGTCTTCTCCCAGCACAAATGAGACTCCAAGGCAATATCCCCCAGCAGAACTCAGAGTCGGTGATGGCTAAACCCCAGATGGTTCTTGCTCTGTATTAATGTCTAAGCTGTCTGTGAACATACCTGAATTTTACCCTTCAGGTTACTGTAATTACACAGAATCCTGTGGGGATGGTTATGAAGATTATCTCACTTTATCAGGGTTTTTAAAATCATTTTGTAGAGCAGCCTGGCAGTTTTTAAACAAATTGAACAGTTTGTAGAGACCCTGAATGGCTGAGTTACAACAGACAGTGCTATGAAAGAACTTGTGGAACTATTCTATTAACAGACCATGTCTATTCCAAATTTTTCCTTCATGGGAGCTTGCCTGTGTCATCATCTGGCAATTAGCTAACAGAATGGCAACTTTTGCCAGTTGCTACTTCAAAGATTTCGAACTGAATATGAAGTTAGATATCAAGCTGCAAAGGGAGATGAAGAAACCTGAAAACAATTACATGCGTTTCTGGTTTTTCTGGAAGAACTGTATCTTAACCTGGAGATCAAAGGAACAAATGGACAAGGAACAAGAGCAGATATTTTTCAGACTGGTCTTCAGGAGTTGCTGAATGCTCTCTTTTCTAATCTTATGGATGGTAACTTGATTTTTGCGATAAAATTACTGAAGTTGACAGGGTCAGTTTGGGAAGATGCCTGGAAAGGAAAAGGAGAGACCGATATTGAAATTATTTAGAGGATTGAAAATGTGTCTTGGATGCACATTGCAGCAGAAACATAAAACAGATGCTCCTAAAGCTTGGAGAATTCCAGTCAAGTTACTGGGGTAGAGTCCATGTAACCACAACATACAGAGAGACAACACCTAAAAATGACCCTAACTATTTTATGAACGAACCAACATTTTATACATCTGATGGTGTTCCTTTCACTGCAGTTGATCCAGATTATCAAGAGAGATATCAAGAGTTAACTTGAAAGAAAAGTCTTCCTTTTTAATTTGGATGCCTTTTATTTCTTCTTCTTGTCTGATTGCTGTGGCTAGATTTACAGTATGATGTTGAATAAGAGCTGTGAAATTGGACATTACTGTTTTATTCATGATTTTTTTATTTTAAATCTTCCCCTGAAGATAAATTATTATTGATTTTTAGAGAGATGGAATTTTATAGAGAGGAAGGGGGGAGAGAGAGAGAAACATCAATATAAGGGAAAAACATTGATCAGTTGCCTCCCGACCCGGGATCAAACCCACAACCTAGGTGTGTACCCTGACCAGGAATTGAACCCACAAACTTTAGGTGTATGGGACAATGTTTCAACCAACTGAGCCCCCTAACTAGGGCTTATTTATTATCCTAAAGAAATGCTTTTAGGATTTCCCCATTGAGTATGATGTTTTCTATGGTTTTGCCTTATATGGCCTTTTATTATATTGAAATATGTTCCCTCTATTCCCATTTTGCTTAGAGTTTTTATCATATATGGTGCTGGATTTTCTAAAAGTGTTTTCTACTTCTATTGATATGATCTAATGATTTTTATCCTTTATCTTTTAAAATGGTTTATCACTGTAATTGATGTGCAGATATTGAAGCAAAATTGCATCCGCAAATTAAATCTCACTTGATCATGTTGTATTCAAATGTATTACTGGATTTGGTTGCTAATGTTTTGTTAAGGATTTTACCATCAATATTCATCAGGAATATTGGCCTATAATTTTCCTTTTAGGTAGTGGCTTTATCTGATTTTGGAATTAGATAATGCTGGCCTTATAAAATTAGCTTGGGTATCTTGCCTTCTTTTGAATTTTTTAGAATATTTAGAGAAAGATAAGTGTCAGTTCTTGAATTTTTGGTAAAAGTCACCTAAGAAGCCATTCAACCCAGGACTTTTGTTTGTTGGAAGTCTTTTATTTTATGTTTTAAATTATTGCTTTAATTTCATTAGTTTTAATTGGTCAGTTCTGATTTTCTCTTTTTCTTGATTCAGTTTTAGGAGATTGCATGATTCTAGAAATTTATTTATTTCTTCCAATTTGTTGGCTTATAGTTGTTTGTAATATTTTCTTATACTTTTTAGTATTTTTGTGGTTTGGGTTGTAACTTCTCTTTTTTAAGTTACAATTTTATTTATGTGGATCATTTTTTTCTTGATGAGTCTTGTTAATGTTTTATCAATCTTGTTTATTTTTTTAAATAACCAACTTTTGGTGTCATTGATTATTTTTGTATTGTTTTTTAGACTATCTTATTTGTGTCTGATATTTATTATTTCTTTACTCACTTTGGGCTTTGGTTGAGTTCTATTTCTAGGTTGTTTTTTGTGTTTTTTTTTTGAAAGACTCAAAGAATTTATTGACTGAGGATCTGCAATCTGTAGATTTATGGCAGGATGGATACAACTTGATTCATAGGGAAAACTACACATGCCCCTCGGTGACATGAAGGTATAGGTATAGGACACCAAGAGTCCCTCAGTCAAAATTGTTCTATATCTTTTCTTTTTTTTAAAATTATTTTTATTAATTTGT